AGAGCAGCGCTTGTGGGAAATCAGCCCCTGTGAGGGAGGTGGGGCTGAGAGAGCTCTGACAGAAACTGCCCTTTTTCAAGGACAGCTGTGCCAGAACTATGGCTTGCCCAAGGTCATCCAGCAGGTGCAAGTGGAGTTGTGGGGAATCAAACCCGGTTCTCCCAGGTTAGAGTCCGCACACTTAACCACTACACCAAACTGGGAAACGTTGAGAGGAACAGTAGGAGAATGAGGTGAGAGTCTTCAGTGGAGCGGAGTCCTCTCCAGCCAGGGGCAGGGGTCAAAAGCTCTCCTTGCCCTTTTTGCTGTGGCTCCCTTCCGGGCCGCCCCCGCCTCCCCACCGGTCAGCCCTCCAGTGCTCCTTGTGGACCTGTAATGCAGAATCTCTCTTCCAAAGGCGAGAACTCTGGCTCCTCCTCTTCTTGTCATGTAACTTTGAGAGCACGTGGTTTCCTGTCATGTGGTACAGCTCAGCTAGGGTTGCCAGCCTCCAGGTGGTGTCTGGAGGTCTCCTGGAATTACAATTGATCTCCCAATTACAGAGATAAGTTCCCCTGGAGATGATGGCTGCTTTGGACGGTGGACTCAGTGGCATTGTTTGGGGAGGGAGCTCAGGGGGGATGTGATGCCCTAAAATCCACCGTCTGAAGCTGCCATCTCCTCAAAGGGAAACAATCTCCCTTGTCTGGAGGTCAATTCTAATCCAAGGAGAATAGAATTCCAGGTCCCATCTGGATGTTGGCAACCTCAGGTTCAACTCGGACCTGACACCAGACTCTGGGTTTGCACTCAATGCAGTTTAGAATCTGTTTTAATATGAAATATAAAGGGTATTATTTGTGTTGTTTACTATAACAGACTGTTTGGTGTAGTGGTTAAGTGCACGGACTATAATCTGGGAGAACAGGGTTTGATTCCCTACTCTTCCACATGCAGCTGCTGGTGTGACCTTGGGTCAGTCATAAGTTCTCTCAGAGCTATTCTCTGTGGAGCAGTTCTCGAGAGAGCTCTCTCAGCCCCACCTAACTCACAGGGTGTCTGTTCTGGGAAGGGGAAGGGAAAGAAGATTGCAAACCACTCTGAGACTCCTTGTAGCTAATCCGATCTCCTCCTCCTCCTCCTCCTCCTCCTCCTCCTTCTTGTATGAAAATTTTATAAAAATTTCTGTGAGGTTATTTATGTTATACGATATAATAAGATTGATAAGATAAAAAATGATAACATAGTATGAGAAAATGATAGAATATATTGAGTAGGTTGTTATGCTGATCTTTTAAGTTATTATGTTGTATATATTTTAAGCTATTTTCACACATACTGTGCCTAAATTTCTGTGAGGTTATTTATGTTATACTATATAGTAAGATTGATAAGATAAAAATGATAACATAGTATGAGAAAATGGTAGAATGAGAAAATGATAGAATATATCGAGTAGGTTGTTATACTGATCTTTTAAGTTATTATGTCGTATATATTTTTAAGCTATTTTCACACATACTGTGCCCTCACCTGGCACTGCCCACAAATCTCCAGTTCTCCAAGCCACAGGTGGCAACCCTAGCACCCTAGCAGCCACTAATAGCTCAACCTGTACAATATTTACTGCTTACTGATTATTAGAGTTTACTATCATATAACATGAAATTCCAACAATATAATTTTACAATAATTCAAAGGTATAAGTCTCCAATCGTTCACAAATATATAGTTTAACAAGGAAGGAATGGTAAATGGTTAACACCTGTTTCAAAGCTTGTAAAAGCTTGTGAAAGTAGCCAAAAAGGGTTTTTTTTGAGTTGCTCCCAGTATTTAGATTTGTCAGCCGCTGTCCCCCAGAAACTGGGCTCAGAGCGCTGTACAACATGCTCACAAAAATATAAGTTTAAACAAAAGTTAAAAACCAATAAAACCAACAGTTAAACTAAAGATTGCGCTAAAACCCCAATAGTGCCGCTTTCTTGCGGAAGGGCAGGGGGTGGGAGTGCCAAAATGGAACTGTCACTGTCCTCAACCAAATGCCTGGCAGAACATCTCTGCCCTGCGAGCCCGGTGGAACCGTAATAAGTCCCGCAGGGCATGGATGTTGTTTGGCAGAGAGTTTCACCAGGTTGGAGCCAGGGCAGAAAAAGCCTTGGCCATGGTTGAGGACAGCCGGATATCTCTTGGACCAGGGACCACCAGTAAGTTTTGATCTGCAGAGCGCAACACTCTTCTTGGGGTATACCAGGAGAGTAGGTCCCTGGCCGTTGAGGGCCTTAAACCTTGAATCTGATCTAGTACTCCATCAGAAGCTAGTGCAGCTTACACAGCACAGGATGAATATGTGCTGTGCACCGTTTCCCTGTAAGGACCCACGCCGCTGCATTCTGCACCAGTTGGAGTTTCTGGGTCAGCCTCGAGGGTAGGCCCACATAGAACAAGTTACAGTAATCCAACCTGGAGGTGACCGTTGCATGGATTACAGTGGCTAGGTCAGAGATAAGAGACAGACACCAAATGAACAGTGATTGTTCCACACCCCCACCTTCATATAATTCTTTTGGGCAATATGACATTTATGTCTGCACGGGATAGGTGGGGAAGAACAAAACACCGCAATACATGCTTATGCATGCACAGGCATGACATTTCTGCGCCAGACCGGTTTGAGCTGTTCAAATGCAGGCTAAACATCCTGTTGAACATTCAGCTCCCATGATGGTTGCATGCAGTCAGGATGTGAGTGTTTGAGCAAGTCTAGATGTAACAGCAAGCTGCTCAACAGGGAGAAGAGGAGGGACAAGGGCACATGGAACTTGAGGCTCAACCTTAACTTGCCATTGCTTCTGAACTGAGCTGTTACCTAGAAGGCACGTTTCGATCTCAGATCTCCTCTTTTGCATTTGCTTATCCTGATGGTAACCCATGTTTGCCCAAGTGGTCTAGCTGAGATACAAGAGTCCACGTGTAACAAACTGTTTTAGCTCTTTGATTGGTTTGGTACGGAGGAATGGAGGAATGGAGGGGCCAAAAGGGGAGGAAGTTTACTGCCACTGAGTAGTGGGGTAGGAATTTAGATGCATCCACTGCTACTCTTCGCAAATTGTAGCTGGTAGAAAATTGCCCGTTGTGCCGGATTCCACGTCTGCTCAGGGTCCAGTTTTGTTCCGTCTAATTATGGAAGCACAAAGGGGGTTATATTTTGAAATGTAGAGTGTGTTCGAGGAAGAGAGAGAAGGCTCTTGGCCAACATACAACTGACTCAACTAGCTAAACTGCTTCACTTCTCTGCTCCCAGGTGAATGGCCAGGATCTTGTTGGACCAGGTTCTAAATCTCCTCTTCGATCTCTTTCTCCCCCCTCTCTTCTCCTTGCCAAAATTCTTTCATGCAGGTTAAATGTAGTAAGAAGGGTTCTCAGGCCAAACTAGACCTCTCCATCGAGGAAGGGAAAAGGGACAGTTACTTTTACAGCCCAGATCACCCTTCTCATCATAGAGCTTTTACATTGGCCTAACTAAATATTTTCCCCTCAGAAATATTAACTGGTCAGTATAACAAAGTCCCTTTCCATGAAAGGCAATGTATCTGTCCTCTAAAATCGATATATTCAATCCATCATATAATCTTGGATTGTCGATTGCACACAGGTCCACGTAACGGACTTCTTTCCTCTCCACTATACCCTGAACACTGTATTAACAATGACAGAATAATCCAATGTCTATTAAACGACGCAAACCGTGACATCACAGTTCTGGTCACTAGGTTCTTGGCTGAAGTGGTTAAAGGTGGATAGATACTAAGAGGGGTTTGGCCCTTCCATACTAAATAGAATAGCACTTTTTAAATACACAAAGCCATTCAGGGTCTCCCCGCACAACCACTTAGTGGGACCCATACTGTGGTGGTTAAAGCAGATGTTCTGCCTGCAGAAATTCCCAGGTTCAAATTTTGGCATGTCTTGGACCAATTCCTTTGTTAAGTAGGACAGGACTTTTATCGGGATGAATTAAAATGCCCCCAAATATTCAGCAAGCTATTGGGTTTGTCAGAATTTTTCTTCACACTAGATAAAAAATAAAGAAGAGCAGGGGTGGAGGAGATGTTGGGCCTGACAGGAAGTCCAACTCTGCACTGTGTCTGGATACAGCTGAAATCAGATTTGAATTCATACTGGTATTTGTACAAGAAGATCCCCTCTCACATGGACCTCTCCACCCTTCACAAACTGGTGGAGTGAGATGGGTTGCCAGATCCAGGTTGGGAAGCTCCTGGAGATTTAGGGGTAGAACCCAGGGAGGACAGGGACCTCTGTGGTGTACAGTGCCCTAGCGTCCACCCTCGAAAGCATCAATTTTCTCCAGGGGAACTGATCCCTGTAGTTTGGAGATGAGTTGTAATTCCTGGGGACCTCCAGGTCCCCCCGGAGGCTGGCATCCCTAGGAGAATCTGCAGCAAGATCGGTACCCTCATTTACTGAGAGTTACAACTGGACTTGTTTTTATTGCTTTACTCTTTTAACTGAAAGCCACTTTGTGAGGTTTTAGAGAGCACAATAGAAATGTCTACTAGCCACTGAAGTAGGCTGTGGTGTCAGAACATCTGTTTCATTGTGTATTCGTCTTTTTAAATGACAGTTATTAATGTGAAGCAAATGTATTCCAGTAAATGGATATAGTTATATTCAGGAGAACGTTGACACGGACACAACTGCATAAGTACTTTTGTACCAATGTTCCCTCTATTTTTTTCTCTCTGCTGTGCTGAGCAGAGCAGTTCACACCCTGAGCAGAATATAACTGCTGCAATCTTAACATGGGCGGTGGGTAGGGCAAGACCCTGCAGGGCTCCAGACTGCTGCTGAACAGGGCTTCCTGTTTTAATGAGCAGTCACTCAGTGTTTCCTCTAAGTGGTATGCGTGAGTGACTGTTAATTTGTACTTTTCTTTCGGCTGTGTTGGTATTTTCCTTGTTCACCTGTTTAACATGAATACTCTCTTTTAATCTGTTTTCCAGTTCAGTCAGTTGGTATCCAGTGATCTGAAGGCATTGGGGAGAAACTCCTACACATTCTGCACAGATGGCCAGTTACTCATTCGGCAGGTCCTTCATCCAGAGGCCTCAAAAAAGGTATGCCTGGTGGACAAAGAAGAGGATTCTGGGTACTAGGCAGAACAACACGGTTGCAGCTAGGAGGGAAGATCTAAGTGGGCCTCTAACATGCTGTACAAGGGCCATATCTAGGGTGGAGCCAGTGGGTTGAATCACCCTACCCTGAACATTGATTCATCGCACTTAAAAAAAAACAAACGGGTTTTTTAAAGTTGTCAAAGGGCAGCTTCTGGTTAAAGCTTTAGTGTTTCTTTGTAGAAAAGGAAAAGTTCTGGATTGATTTGATTATTTTTTAAAAAAGCAGTAATGACTGATGTCCACAGAAATGTTAGTCTGCCCACCTTCCCCACTGGTTCCGTGCTACCCCCCCTCCGAATGGTTTTTCATAATCATTCCCACTCTTACTGTGCTTAAATGGCTCCAAAAAAGAACGCCTGTTAGCTAGGGTTACCAACCTCCAGGTGGGGGTTGGAGATCTGGAATCACAACTGCTCTCCAGACTACATAGGTTGATTGTTTATTGTTTATTGATTTGTTTAAAAGATTTATCCCAATTCTCTTGGAGCAAATGGCTGCTTTGGAAGATGGACTGTGTGGCATTTTACCCTCCTGAGGTTCCTCCTCTCCCTAACCCCCCACCCCCCAGGTTCTACCCTCAAATCTCCAGGTATTTCAGAACCCAGAGTTGGCAACCCTACTTAAATGTTACAACTCTGAGCATTAGGGGTACTAGAGTGGGCCTGGAGTTCTCCCAGAATTTCAACTGCTCTCCTGACTGCAGAGATTAGTTCCCCTGGGGGACATGGCAGCTTTGGAAATGCAGACTCTAGGGAAACCTAAAGGCCTTTTCCCAGCACCATCCCGAAATCACCACAGTTGACAAGCCTGTTCTCTCCCCAAATAATTTCTGCTCTTAAGTGCCTTGTGGATGGAGCCACGGTGGTTAACTTGGGTCAACTTTGTAATAGAATTATTATTCAAATGATTAGAAAGTATTACGTGTGAAACATCTCATTAAGTGTTAGATTTATATTGCTCGACTGTAGCCTCTTCATTCTAGCACAAAGGAATGGAAGCAAAAGTTTCTGCGTCTTTGTTGTTCATTTGGAAAACTGTAGATCAGCAGCAGGACTCGGGTTTTTAACTAAATGACTTTTGTGTGTTGATTTATATGCGCTGGGTAAAAACTGCCTTCACCTTGGCCTTATCCAAAAAGTTTTTGAGAGACTCGAAAATGCTAAATGGCTGTGTTCTCTATGTTGTTCCTTCATAGAATCTCCTGTTGTCTGATTGCTTCTATTCCTTTTACGATCTACGCAAAGAATTTCACAACAGCTACCCTAACTCGGCCTCCGTGAAGGATCAATCTATCCAGTCTATGGCTGAATGTATCCTTGTTTATGTTTCTCTACACCTGGACTGATTTGTTAGCCTGGACTGCTACAGCTATCCCTGTCACTTCAAGGTAGTTTTAGGAATCATCAGGAACTCTATGATCAGAACTTCCTATAAGTAGAAAAGTGGCCTTATTTCTTATTTTTCTTGCTAATAAGATTGTGCCCCCCGTTGCCTCGGTTTCCCCCTGTTGATCAGCTGAGCATTGGTAGGCAAGAACTGCAATTAGCTGGAGGTCTCCCACCATAAGCGGGCACATGGGGACAAATGGGAAGACGGAGCTCTTCCGCCAGGCTTTCAAATAGGAGCAGCCACCACAGTTACCATCAATCTGGAATATCGGACTGGCCCACTCTGAGCCTCACCGGCGAACATCTGGACCGTGGGACTGATTTTAAGACCCAAAGACAGAAGGAATGCAGACACAAACCATTCATCTTAAGGTTACTCTGATTTAGCGAGCACTTTATTGTTAATATTGTTTTTAAGGGATTTTAATATTTTATTGTTTTATCTGTATCTGCCTGTTGGCAGTCTTCTGTAAGCCGCCCAGAGCCTGTTTACAGGGTGGGCGGGGTATACATGTAAATATAAATAAATAAAATAAATATTCATGATGCAAGCAATGTAGTTTCAGATGAAAATGGTATTGGGTAAGAATTGTGGGATTAATTTGTTCGCCATCTGTTTTAAAATGTGCTATTAGATTTTCATTGTTTTATCTAGTGTATGTTTTTATTTATATTGTACATCACCTAGAGCCCTGCAGTAGCAGGGATTGGGTGATTAATAAATTTAATA